ATTCCCACCAATAACCCGAAAGACAATGGTAAACAGCACTTAAAAGGAGAATGAATTCCGCCCTCATTCAAAATTTGATTGCGACGGGAGGAATGTATGTTCTCGTATGAGGTAACAGTGCCAGGATGAAGAAAAGCAGAATGAACTGTATAATGGAAGAACCGACTGGAGACGCACAATCAAAGACCCTCAGGGCGATCACATAAACAACCAATTATTACTACTACTATTATCATTATTATTATTATCTGAGGGACAACCCGAAACAGGATGAAATATAGCGCAAAAAAATCAACAACCAACAATCAAATATGCTGGGTCAGAAAATGTGCAAAGTCGTTTCCACTAAACCGGTGCCATTCCGTGAAGAAGGAATCATTGTGTGGAATCGCGCGCCACAGCAAACGACACATCTCTTTTCTGACCTCAACCACCCATCTCAAAGCGGAACTGCCAACTCCGCAAACCGAGAAGAAGCTCGAGTTCCAACACACTTCTTTAACGCACAGCAGAGGAAGCAGTGTGGACTCACAGAATCGGCCAAAATTCCGCAGCTTTTTATTGTGAGATGATTAAGGCGCGCACAGCTATGCCGAGAGCTGCAAACCACGCTTCTGACGTAAAACACGAGTGATGTACAGATAAAAGAAATCAGCATAAAGCACCGTCTGAACAACGCCAGATATGACTGCAATGGGATCGAAGAAGCCTTCTGTGTAATAGCGATAGATCCAGTTCAGTATGTACAGCGCTCTAAAATATCTTTTTGCATTGCTTTTCTGCTCATTTCGCAGTAAATTACACAAGAAAATTAGAAAATCTTCCTTTACTTTTACAGCACCGAAATTATTATATTTTCTGTATCGGCTGATTACCATTTAATTTCGATTATGCTAACGAAACTCATTTAACTTTTACAATAACAACACTTCTTCCATAAAGAGAGACAGTGTGGCAATTCGTTGTTATGACTGGAAGAATAGCATCACTGTATAGCAGAGATATGCCGTCATGCAAAGCAAGCAGTTTCTACTAACAGCCGAACAAAAAGGCGCATCACAGTTTATACAGATAAGTTGAACTGGCCAATCTGCAGACACTTCCTACTTGCGCCTTAACAGAATCGACACTGTGATGAAAACCTGGCCAGTTACGCCAGTATACATCGTCACATATCTCTAGAGATGCTTCTCCTGCCGTTTACAAATAAGTTTTTTTTTTTTAAGTCTGTTTATAAGCCGAAAGAGATCTACTACAATCTGCTGTCAACGAGGACGCATTTGCATATACTGTAAGGGACGAGATGGTCCCTCGACTGTAAATAGAAATATTTAAAATATCACAAAAACCCATCTTTGGATATACATGATTAGTGGGGCTGCTGATGTTACGAGCCGGTCGGAAACTAGCATGGTCCCCAAATGTTCCAAGAAGCAGCGCCGGTCCTCTGTGACGACATCAGACTTC